ACATTCTCAGTAATATTACAATAAAATTTACAGTTCAGCTTCTTCTTACTGTACGCCTTTTTACACACTGCTTTTGTACTTCGATTTTTCTTTAGTGGCCGATGAAATTAAGGCATTGTTACACCTCCTGCCTTATAAAATGAATCTTTCCAACAGTGGTAAGCACATTTTTTGTGGCCAAGAAACCCGTTGAATAGGACGTTTGCGAATTAATTAAAAAGATTAATTTTAAAAGGCAAAAGATGTACCTATGACCTGTCATCCGCCACTGTAGAAATATCGATGTATACGTTCACGAGTAGTTTGCGGAATCACGCACTCGAGAGATTGCTACATGCATCTATCACTAAAACGTTTACATAAATATTTACCTACTTGTAAAACAAGTCTTCCCTTACGTTTGTTTGATTTACATTGAGAAACACAATTATAGTCTCATGATCTGAAATGAGAATTTTCTGGGTATTATCGGAATACTTCGAAAACTTTTGCTCCTTTTCATCAGAAACCCTGTGAGTACCCTGCTTCAATTAAATTTGAGACAAATGTATAACAATGATTCATAAATTTCAATGTTTAAGGTTTTGAATGTTTTGCTTCAAGTCTTTGTATCCTTTTTTTTTATTTTGGGAAATTTTCAATGATTGCGAATGAAAATAAGAAATGAAATACAATTCTTATATTCAAAATTACCTCAAGTGGAAGAGCTAATCCGTTTTTTTCATCTATCCGAAAAAATATTTTTCAGTTTATTTTCGAGTATAAAGTCTTTGCCTCGGATCAACTTCAAGTAACTTTGTCAACCTCCGCACTTCTTTTTGTAGCTGCCAAATGCCATTTTGATTGTATTGCTCTCGGGGCCTAACGAGACTACCCCCTCGCTGGGACCGCACCATTTGGCACAGTGCTCTAAATTCATGAATAACCTGTATATTTACATATGTAAATGGAGTTACGGGAACAACTGTAGTGTATCGCTGCCCAAGGAAATTACATAGTGTATTTTAAAGCGATGAAATGGTAATATTGTGTGATGATCTGTAAATTACAGGACTGAAATACTCGACGCGATAACACTTCAGTAAATCACGGAATTACGTGCGCTTTTCTCACATATTTCAATAGAGACGTGTAAGCGTGTGTGTATGATTAATATATTATTGATGTTTCAAATTTAATTAAAGAAAATCAAACATTTATTTTAGTTATGTGAATGAGAAAGATCTGGATGCCAATGCATTCTAAAAGTAGTTCTTACAAGCTTAATATTAAAAACAAAGTGTCACATGTTTAAGTCATCGTAAAACAAATTATCATTCTGTTCCAAAATACTGATTCAAAATTAATCAAATATTTATTACACGATATTAACTCCATATGTGGCTGTTCGACAAGAACGTCACACAAAAATATTTAAGCAGGGACCGTTTTATAAAGTGAAATATATACATTTTTAAATAATAACAGTTATTCAGTTTGATTTCTGGATATTTTAAATTACTGTTAGAAAATGATAAACTTCATTAATAAAGGTTGCTGTATAAAAATATCATGAAAAGTGTTCAGCGTTTGTTGCACAAAACTGAAGGTAATAACTGAACTTGTAAATTTGTTTCAGAGGTAATAGTTTGAATTCAATCGCAATGCCACAATTAAAATATTAAATAGGCATAATTCGTAATATTAATGTTCATACAAGACGATAAAGAGATATTATTTTATAAACAAGGTGAAGGTTTCTTGAGTAGATGGCACTTCGTATATAGCTAGGTGGAATTCAGCCTCTGACTTGAGAATTCTATCGGCACACTAGTTTTCCGCGATTTCTTCCTTCAACACCAGGCGAATACCACTCCAACAAACTGCCCACGGATTGCGCGCGATCTTTCCTTTCTCTTCTTTGTTTCATCTTCTTATCTTACATACATTTACACGTACATGAACTACATTAGGTGACGGGAGACTGGTCGGGAGCTTAGAGCTTGTCTCGGCTGGGGCGGTGGCCTGCTGGTGGGAGACACCTGGTTGGGGAAAACTGCAAGCCGGTGGGTGTAGACGGAACTGGATCTCATTTTCCATCACTACCTGCGATAAAAACATGCACTACAGTTAGGGGACTTAACAGGCCAGAGACAATTAAGAGGCCCTGAAGCTGTACCGCCATTAACAAGTGTATGCAAATATCTCGATACAATGCGCTTTATAATTTTTTTTTTTTTTTTGATTCTGTAAATATAAATATATAAACGTTTCGACCATCTTGTCGTGGTCTTCCTCAGGACTGGTATGTCCACGACAAGATGGTCGAAACGTCGGCCACACAGCCTTCGACGCGGCGTCACCCGGACAGACAAGATCAGTCACATGACTCTGGCCGCGGAAGCCTACTTAATCTCTCTCCCCTCGCCCCGTAGGATCCGCCTTTGGCTGCTGGTCAGCGATTTGCAACTCACAGCCGAGTCACATGGTTGGAATTTCTGCAGCGCCTCGCCACTTCGCTGGAAGGGCATTGCTTCTTGACTCCGTGACGCCAGCTGGCGGCGACGAATCTGCCACTCCCTGCGCGACGCACATTGGTGCAAACAGAGCCAAATCCTGGTCACGTGACCTGAGGGTTCAGCCAAGTTCTGAAACAAATTTTGTGGAACACATCCCAGGGTTCCGATAACTACTGAGACAAACTGTACTTTTCCGCCCCACGTTCAGCTGATTTTTATTTTCAAAGACATTTTTTATAACGTTCCTTTGCCTTCTTGTTTTCGGCGTTTTGATCTCACGGCACTGTAGAGCCAAATTTATAATAATTATAATAATAATAATAATAATTTATTTTCAATAATTATTTATAATTAATAATTATTTTTATATAATAATTATAATTTATTATTAATAATTATTTATTATATAACTATAATTTATTATTATTATTATTATTATTATTATTATTATTATTATTATTATTATTTGCGAATATTCATTCTGGCCTTGCTTTCAAAGTGCGCGTTCAGAATTTTGAATTACCAGAATTGTTCAGAAGTCATAGAATTCATTAATTATTGATTCGGAGTGCGTGAACGGCTAAAATCATTATTCGCGTACGAGTACTTCATGTTTTTTATCGCGGGATGTGATTGTGATTTTCCTCTGCTGACAGGCACGATCTGTGTCGACGTATCCGTCAGCTGGCGGGTTGTCCCAAACCAGGTATCTCCCACCAGCCTGCCTGCCTGAGTTTCATTTCAAAATCTTGTAAATTGACAGAGATATGCGTGACACAACCGTCCATGAAATATACAAATTGATTTTGGGGTTCTACATTTCATGCATGTCCTATATTTCTGTTCCAGCCATAACAATCTTCGGAACAGCACCAACAGACTTCAGTCAAGATGTGTGTGCATAATTACAGCTCAAATGAATCTTAAACACGGATTTTGCAATCGAAAATTCCATATCATATGCATAGGTGCTTCCAGTACTTTTCCTCCCTTTACAGTAGTGTATGGGGGAAAATTAAAGAAGTTTATTCTTTTGTGGATCTTTTCGTAACTATGAGTTAAATATATTTGTGAGCGAAAGTGTCTTCTTTTTTTTTAGATTTGATACATTTATATTTATCATGTTTAATCAGCGTTTCATTGTGGATTATATGTTTGTTCAAAATATTACAATTTCAACCAATATTTTGTATATCACGTATAATGCTTATTCCGAATAACACACATTGAGCTTCACATGTATGCCCTCTTATGTTTTATCGTTATTTTAGATCTATATGTGCCAATACATAAATATTTGCTTGCATACTCGCTGTTAATTTGTCATGAAGCCGCCATTCGAAATCGGCGAACTTGCAAACCATAAATATGTGTATTTCTAAGCATATTTGTTTATTTTTAATAGAGTCGCTGTGCTATTTTGAAGGCTGGATTTTGAATCTGGAAATTTCCATCCGATTTTCGAACCAGATATCCAGTCCTAGGCGAATCCATTCTGACGTGGAATCGCGGCCGTGATGTTGCTCGTTTCGTACCGCTTGCGCCGGGGCGTGGCGCGAGGAGACGAGGGGAGGGGAGGGGAGGGTTAAGGGGAGGGGAGTGGCCACTCATCCCGTCTGGGCGAGCGGGGGCGGGCGTCGACGGCGGATGCGAGGGCGGGAGGGCGGGCCCGGGCCGCGCCGGCCGTCCGCGGGGAGGGCCGTGACGTCCACGACGCGTCTTGGCGCAACAGCTGCCGCGCGGGGCCGCGCCTCCTTCCCTGCTGCTGCGGTTAGGCTTTACGCGCAAGGGTACGTAACCGTAGTGAAGTGGGCGGAGCGCTTGCCAGCGGCGGTGGCGGGCCGGGCGAAGAGGTTTGGTTGTTTCGTTTGTTTCGTGATTTCCGGGCAGTCAGCTTCTTAAGGTCATATCCCCGTTTACTCGCGAAGTGGGCGGTGCCTTCTTAGCCCGCGAGAATCCGGCGCCTACCTTACACGTCGGCTGGAGGAAGGTGTTCGCCAACCATTGTGTTATCCTTCCCACCGAGCGAGGGCTACCAGCCCCCAGCCGGGTTATCATTAGTCTCAAGTCTTCTCCCACTGGTATTCAGACGGGTAGTAGCTGTGGTGCATGTGATTATTGTTGAATGTAGATGTGGTTGTGTTATGTTTGCAGATTGTGTATTGTGTGTATTTGTGTGTTATTATTGTTGATATGTATTATTTGATTTATTGTTGATATAGTATGTATATGTATTTATAGTGCATGATGATATCTAGTTATTATATATTATTGTTCCTACATTATGATAATATTTGTATATATATATGTTGTTTGTGTGTGTGTTATTTGTGTGGTGGTATGGTGTGGTGTGTGTTGTTGTTGTGTGTATGGTTGTGTGTATGTGTTGTGTTGTGTGTTATGTTGTTGTGTTGTGTATGGTGTGTGTATGTGGTGTATGGTGTGTATTGGTGTATGTGTGTATTGTGTTTGTGTGTGTGTATGTGTGTATGGTGTGTGTGTATGGTGTGGTTGTGTGTATGGGTGGGTGGGTGTGTTGGGTGGGTGGTGGGTGGGTGTGGGTGTGTTGTGGTGGTGTGTGGTATGTGTGTGGTGTGTGTGGTATTGGTGGCTGTTGTGTGTTGGTGGTGGGGTGATTGTGTGGTGTGTGGGTAAATGTGTGTTGTGGTTAGTGTGTGTGTGGTGTTGTGTGTTTGTGGGTGGTATGTTTTGTCGTTGGTTTGGTATTGTTGTGTGTGGGTATGTGCGCGTGGTGTGTGTGTGGTATGTTCGCGGTGCCGTGTAAGGGTTGAGGATAGGACGAAGTTAAAAGAAGAAGTGGTGATTTGCTCGCAGTCCCGTTGCTCGTTTTTGTGTGTTAGGGTTACTGTGGTTCTCGTTGCATATTCGCCTGTGTATTTGGTAGTTCGGAGAATGGCCATCGGAAAACTTCCCGCTCGAGCAATCCGGCGCCTGGATTTCTCCTCGCTATGGCCGTAGTGTAGCTTGTACCTTCTCCGTGCCCTTCCTCCGGCGCTGGTGATCCGCTCTTTCTTCTTGGCTCCTGTAGTGTGTCAATGTGTCCGCAGGGTTTTTTCAATTTTTTACCTCTGTTACACTCCCTCCATAAAAAAGAGCCTTTTTTTAAGGATCCTTTGGTTTCGCGATCACAAACCTGCAGTAACAAAAATGGTGTTGAACAAAAACACACAAAATGGTTTTCCAAAAAGCAGCATGCACACGCCCGCCCAAGAACAAATAAATATTCTCGTATAAGACTGCAAAAAAATTAACAAAAAAATCTGCCCGAAATAATAACATAGTACAGTCTCCTGTATACTTCACATTTCCTTACATTCCAAGGAATAGTAAAATATTTTTAAAATTGTGCCGAAACAATCACGCAAACAACGAAGAAGCCGAGAAAGAAGCTCCTAAAAGCGTGAGTTCTTTGCTCGTTAGTCTGTATATGAATTCCACAGACGTAAACGGAAAATCTGCGATGACGCCGATGATTCACTTCCCTCAAACAGTCGCCACTCTGTAACGGTTTTCTTTCCCGCCTGCCTTCAGATGGCCGTGCAGTGAAAGTGCTGCGGTAAACACGAGTATAATTCACAAGGAAGTAGGATGTATCGCAAAACCTTTAAACGTGGTGACCTTGTTTCGTTGAAATTCCTGGACTTATTTTGGAAATAAAATTGAGAGGGAGAGGAATCTGTATCTACCTCAGGAAAAGGACTAAGTTTTTGAATCGAAGCGTTACAAATATTAACCGCACTATCGATCTTTTGCGCATGCGCAATAGGAGTTTCGTATTATTTTTGTACATCTGCGCGTGAGAAGAAGATCGAGAATGCATTGGCCTGAAATTAACAATCAAGTAAGGAATAAATCATTTTACCACTTCAACTGCCGTAACGCGGTATGGCAATGCGTCCAATCTTATAAGGGCACCCGCGGTTCGGTCAGTTGAGTCCCCAATGGGGACACAACGAGCACATGCAAATACTACAACCAGGTTCGATACACATCTCTACTCATTACAGCAATTTACAACTTCCCAGTCAAGTACCACTCTTGATATTAACGTGGTACCAAAACATCGATCCCCTTACGGTGTCAAAAGAGGAATCGGGTGTCATCTCGCTTACGGAAGCCGATGGATTTTAACGTCGATGGCTTGTAATTAAGGTTTTTAAATCATAACAAAATTCTATAATAATTTTCAGATATTCTTAAAACTAATATTCTTTCAATCAAAGTGTCCAAGAAAGTTAAATAAAATCGAGTTTTCGTCAAGAAAGAAACCTCTATCATTTCTGAGTTTTTAAATCAGATAATCCAATCTGTATCAAAAATTTTAATTGTCTTCATTTTGTTTTGTCAGATAACATGTAAGTTAAAAATTAATAATCTTTCAAGTCCAGGAAGGACTTCAATAGCTAAAAATCCAGTTTCAAAACATTGATGTTTAAAAACATCAATGATTTGGAACGATGTTTTATTAATATCAATGTACTAGTTTTGAGCATTGATATTTAGAAACATCGATGTTTCATTTGCGATGCCGCAGCGGACACCGTTTCCCAACGCCCCGGCTTCCGGATTCCCCCGGCCTGAAGCACCCGCACTCGCCACTCGAGGGTTTCCCACGTGACCCGGCGGGGGGGGGGCGAGGTTTCCCCGAAAATCACTCATCCACTGGCGGCTGCGCCGGCGGTTCCTCTGACCCGAAGTGAACGGTTGCTCAAGTGCCTGAAATTCCCTTTTCTTCTTTTTCCTCTACTCCACAAAGCATAGCCTTCTAGTTTATTCCCAAGAAAATCAAAAATTAAAATTCAGTAGCTTCTAAAGCAAAACAAAACTAATTAAATAACCCCGTGTACTTTAACCTCAGTTGGTCAAGGAATGTACAAATCCAAAAGTGTCAGCATATTAAACACTAAAGCCCTCAAAATAGGTCAAACGAGATTTTTTTACTGAAATCTTTCATGTAACCATGAAATATGATGAACAACTCAAGGTGTGGGATAAGTTTCTGAAGTAATAGAAACCTCTTGTATTCGTTCAAGCGAACTTACGTGTAAACTTAAGGAATCGACTGTTCTTTAGGAGAAAATCTCTGCCTTTAGTTATCCCGAAATCGGCTGAACCGACAATGGCGCTGATAGGCGTCACAGGAACCTTAGATTAGATGCAGCGGTTGACATTACAATATATGAGCGAAGAAATCGAATAGGCTACCACATGTAGGTTGTCAGGAATTCTGTAAAAACGTGTTTCTGTCGAAAAAGGTAGAAAATGACTCAGTATAATTCGATGAAAAATGCAAAAACAAATACGTATAAAATAGGTCATTTCATTTTGTTATAACATTGTATGAATTTCTATACTAAACGGCATTTCTTCCTAAGTGAAAAGAAAAAAAATGAACTCCCCTTACGTAATTTTTACTCGCCCTTATTCGCCCCCTACTTTAATTACTCGCCCTTACTCTGGATTCACTTCATCAGGAATCATCTATCTAATATTTCCCTACTTTCGTAAGCATTTTCATACTCTAACGTAGTTGATATTTTTAGATTCTTTCTTCCTCATAGCGGGCGAAGAAGAGCGGGGAGACGGTTTGGGGCGAGGAGGTCAGGACCCATTATTTAGGAAATAGCTGCGTCATGCGCCTGGAATTAATTGGGGGTGGGGGCAAGGAAATGACTTACCACAACAGACAGTCTCTTAACATTCTCATCGAGACACTTTTCGACTTCAACGGTGTGGAAAATGTTGCCACCGTCAGAGCTCGAGTTCTGGAGTTCTCGCTCTTCGAAGCTCCGTTTGCAACTCTCAACTAAATAGACACACTCTTGCGCACACTGTTGGAAGTTAATTAATATAACATTAAAGCGCAGCTGAAAAGTTACCGTTTGGTGGCTCTTTCTAGGAGCAATACTAGTATTATTCATTTATATTACAAGACTAGCATCAAATGAAATATTTCAATTACCCATTAAAACCATAACTAGTCTTAGATTATCCACTATCATAATTTTAATTATAAGTATACTAAATAATCATATATTCCATGTATTCAAAAATGATTCCTTTTATAAATAGAATTATTAATACCACAATAGAAAATAATAACTTAAATCAACTTCGGACACAACTGCAGTGTGCTCGGAAGATTCGAGGTTTCCACTGCCGACCGTGTATGGATTTTACACACTAGCTGGGTGGCCGTGCCGAATTTGGTCGTCGCCTGGAGGAGAATTCTAGTGGTCAGGTGCTCCGCAAATGCTTTGTTTTTTAATATTCGTTTTTCGGAATGTACCACCTTCGCCGCCTCTTTGTTGTTCTGGTGGGCGTCAAGCGCCGCGGCGCCGACAGTATGGGGACGGGGCAGTGATAAAGGGGCGGGCGGTAAAGAAAGAAGGAGGCAAGGGGAAAAAGGAGAGGGCGGGACTGGTGAGAAGGGGCGGGGTGAGTGGGCGCGCGGGAAAAGGAGAGGGCGACTGGTGGAGAGGGCGGGGCTGAGTGGAGGGCGAAAGGCGAGGGGCCTGGTGCAAGGGCGTGCTGGATAGGGAAAGCGAGGGCGGAGTAAGGGCGGTGAGGAAGAGGGCCGTTGATGGGGGTGGGCGGGGTGGAAGACGAGCAGAGACGCAATGGGATTGCCCCCGGGCGGAGGCGAAGTGAGGTGGATAGAAGGGGGTGGTGGCGTGGCATGTGCGGGGGGGGGGCAAGTGGCGGGGGAAAGGGGCCAGGGGGGAGGGAGAGGAGGTGTGGGCGGGGTCAGCTGGGGTCGCGAGCGGTCGCAGGTCGGTTAATCGCGAGCGCTGTCCGTGGCGGTTGCGCAAGCCTTGCGACACGCCGCACTAAGTCATTTGTGAAAGTGGACACGCGGTGAAGCCGTACAAACAATGCCAGCTCAGTACAATAACGGCTCAATAAAATTGCTAGGAGCAAAAGGAAAAGGAGAAGAAAAAGAGCGTGAGGAACGGTCGGGGTAGGCTGCGACGGAGCGGTGCACAACGTATTCGCTGCTGTCGACAACACGCGAATGGGGCGTGGCCCTTGAAGCGTTTATCGGACGCGATAGCTTATTGGGACTTACGAGTTCGCAGCTGAAGCTGCTCCTAAGTACCAGTGTCTTTCACAGTGAATTTTCGACCCTTTGGGTTGACAGTCATACTGTCAAGAACAGCTTCTGATGACTTCAGTACTCTAGGTTATTAACTGCCAATGCGGGAAGAATTTGAAAGAAAACGATGCTACCTCTAGTCGAGGGATGCGACATCGATGTTGATGTTTTGAAAACATCGATGTTTTTTCGGAACGTCTGTATAATAAAGACGATGTTTTGGTGCGATGTTTTGTGAATGAAAAATTCTCATAATGAACATTTCGTAAAAGTTAAAATATGAATTAATTATTTGATGGTACCATTGTCAATTTATGTGTTCGATCAAAACGAACTGTGAACTATCTTCAACGACCGGACTCTCTCCCAAGATGACCTTAACACCCCTATTTACTATTTTTTCCGAAGTTTGTC